AGAGAAAAGAGAGAGAGAGAGAGAGAGAGAGAGAGAGAGAAGGGGGGGGGCACGTGTTACTTCGTTTCTTCTTTGCCTTTTGTTAAGCACGGGGCATACATGCAAGATAGCTTTATCACAAACATATTCACAGACATAGAAAACAAAAGTCTGAATCGGAATCTTTAGCAAAAACGTCAACGGGACAACGGACAGGATTTTCTCATAAAATTTCACAGTTCTTGCACAGCACAAAAAAAAAAAGGATGCTGCAAAGGTATCGGCTTCCCAAACAAAACACTCGCAGGTAAAGAAAAACAAAACAGGTTCGGTGGTATTCCCTCCTATTTCTTGCACGCAGATTTCTGTCTGCTCTCAGGCTCTTCTTTTTGTTTTTGTGAAAGAAGCGGCATATGATAGGGCAGTTCCTTATGCTTTTTCTTTCTTTTGTGCTTTTTAGTTTTCTGTTTTTGCGGGCGAAGCGGCAACGGGTCATCTAGTATAATTAATAATTGCAAAAGAATAATATATTCTCTATTATTCTGTAAAACAGTGAGTGGAAAAACAAATGCATGAAATTGAGGGTTTGGAACTTTGGATTGATTAGTTGTTGACTGAAAACTTTTTTTTTGTGTTTTTTTGCCAGGTTTGGGAAAAATGTATCTTCTTTCCCATCTCTCCTGTATGCAATAAAGATTGATTTCCGTTTTTTTTTTAAAAAAAAAAAAAAAAAAAAAGAGAGAGATGGCCAAAAAATGGCCAAAAATTCTCAGTAGTCTTAAGAGGGCGGGAGAGGGGGGAGGGGCGAAAAGGGGAGGGGTTGTTCTGGGGTTTGGCCTCCCTGCTGGAACGCAGAGTTCTCAGCTGTAAAAAAAACGAAGAGAGTTTTGCAGAGCAGCAGGGATGACACCCCCCAGATCACCCCCCTCAGAATGCAACTCCCTTCACCAATCCCCGTCTACTTCCGACCCCTCCCCCCCACCCACCCCTCCTCCTCCCCGACCACTGAGAGAGAGAGAAGAAATTCTCAGTGGTAGGGGAGGAGGGGGGATGGGTAGGGAGGTGGTCAACGGAGTCGCCATCTCAGGGGGTTGATCTGAGGGGGGGCAATCTCTTCTGGTACGCAAAATTCCGAGAGGGGGAAAAAAACGAGAAAAGAAACTGTGGTCTTGCAGTGGGAAGGAGGGGGGGCGAAGGGTGGTGCCTTGGCCTGAGCAAAGAACTGGGGTGGTGCTTGTATACAAAAACCTGATTTCACCTTGGTTTTGTCCATTTTCCCCTCCCTCGCCCCCTTGCTCCCTTCCCCCGCCCCCCTGCCACCCCGCTGCCCCTCCCCATCAACCCCCCCCCCTTTCTCAACGTTGGATTTGTTTGCGTTTTGCTGACAAGAGGTTACTGAATGTCTACTTGACAGCAAAGAGGGGTCGCGAGAGCAAAGCTTGGAGAAGATTCGCTGAAAGAAGAGGTGGCTAGTGACCACAGAGAGAGAGAGAGAG